AATCATTTAATTTAAAATCCTATCCTCGAGAATCTTACGCGTGCAATAGTAAATCTGCTCATAATGGTTCCAGAAAAAATGTACATGAGGAATAAAAACGATAAAAGATGGCTGCAAGTAAGCCGTAATCACCGAAGGTCGTGAAAATTGATAGGCGGCTGATAGATAATTCCTACAGTGATAAAAGTAGGTATCATGGTACGTCAGAATTTCATTCAGGTCTGCCTCTAGTTCAGATGAAGATGGATCTCATCAACACTCTAAAATGGAGGTAAATCAGCGTATTGAGATGTATGTCTTTTACAAATGATCACGGATAGTAAAGCAGAGATAAAATAATTGAGTTATTATGCCACATATTTACGAAATTAAGAAATGCAAAATACTAATGATAATTTTAAAAATTCAATGCAGTACACTTTGTACGCATGCTAAATAGCAAACATATGTATCTACTTTTTTTTGGATTTTTCCAGGCGATTTTAGAAAGTTTGATTTGCCAAAGATAACTCGAAAGACAACCATTGAGTACAAGTCTAACACTGAACCCTTTGTTGGGTTACCAACATATCAGCGTGAGTTTGTGGCACACCGTCAGGAACCAGTGGTTAGCTGTAAGCCTAAATTCGAGATGTTGCAAAGCACTGCTCCGCTGGAAAGCGAGACTAGCTACCGAACCGAGTATAGGGCCCATCCATTGGAACCAAAGCCAGCGAAGCAGGAGACTACTTATGCTAGATGTCAGATGCCTCTGGACAACCTGACAACACAAAAGAGGGACTACACTTCAAAACCGTACTGTGAGTTTATGGTGGTTTAAATTGTCAGTACATCTTAGTTCTAAAATAAATTTATGTCGAGTTATTAAGCTTACAACCATTTGCTTCTCAGACTTTCATTGAGCAAGCTTTTAAAATAGAGTTAAAGGCCTGTGAAATATAAGGATGCTTTCATTCTGCTATATTATTTATTTATTTATGATCTCAATTGGACGCAATGGGTTTAAAGGTCCTTTCCCGAAGGCCATGAGTATAGGCACGAAAATGTAATTTAGCCGAAAGAACAAAAATATTTTTACCTGCATTTTATGCGAAATTTTAACTGAACTGAAAATATCCCATGGATCAAATTAATCAATTTTGTTATAAGAATATCTTATTCCTAAATAAATTCAGGAAGAACTGGATTTGTAATCAGAAGTATATTTTTTCTGTCTTAAGTACCAAATAAGAGTGAATTTTCTATAAAAGTTCAGTTTCTCAATTAAATTTCGTATCTGTTCAGGCTTACTGGATTCGGAGGGAGAATATTTTAAATTAATGAGTAGGTTTCGAAACTATCATTAGACCTTGAATAAGAACTTAAGTCACCCATTTTTTTATGTCTTTAAATTCATGGAACTATATCCAACTTTTGAGTCATTGGGAAACATAATCTATGGCTTATTTAACCAAAGACCTTATTCTTTTAATTGACTACTATCAATTGTATCATGGCAAACTTTAATGATTTCTAGAATCCATGATATTTTTTTATTAGTAGATTTCCCTAAGACATATTTTGTTCCACTTTAATGAGTTGTCAAAAATTGGAAGACGTCATGCCCCCTTCGTTTAAATCTACATTTCAACAGATTTAGAGGAAAATAAATTAGACCAGCATGGTTTCTAAGCCTCAAACCAAGTTTTCAAATTATCTCTTTACCCTTTTGGTAAACGGTAGTGTATTTTACACAGGAAAGTCAAAGGTTTTCGTTACTAAACTCATCATAGATACAAAACCTGTCATCGTGAAATTCACGAGCATGACAGAATAAAGCCCAAGACAAATATAACTGAGATATAATTTTACCATTTGCAAATACATGAAACAATTAATGTTAAATAATATGCTTATAATAAAAAAGAATAGGCTGGTTTAGTTGCTGTATAGATAAGAAAAGAGTCGTTATGACTAGTTAATATGTATGAAAGCTGAAAGATCATATATGCTGCCTCCTAAATTTGAAGAATATCTTGAATTATATAGTAACATGAATGCTGGAAGGACTGAGGAAATTTTACAGGATTCAAACAGTTCAAGAAAGTTTTATACGAAAGGTATCCTTGTTTGGGAATAAGGAGAAAACATGCCTCTGGTATTTAGCGAAATGCAAAGGATAAATTAAGAAATCATCTAGCTAGATTCAAAGTTGAAAAGCTGAGTAGGACCTATTACGCAACAGTTTTTACATTGCTTGTAAAGTGCACGAATACAATTGAGACGAATAGGTAAAGCCCAGCTCCGAAAAATAGGCGGTTAGAGTCAGAATAAAGTAAGCTTATTATAGAAGTGGGTTGACCTCGTTGTCGCAACTTGGTCTTGTTTTCAGGGAGACCATGTAGAACGCACTTATATTTCACATTGTATTCCTTTTAAGTCTGGGTGTGAACATAACTTAAGTTAAAAGAATACTAACCGTAACAGTAGAAAGTTAGAGCTCAATAGCAAAATTCTGACTCTCATTTCCTGTGAAATGGATGTAAGCTCAACAATTATAAAACAAAATAATTCTCGAAACCCAACTTTTCTTCGCAGAAAGGAGACGCCTGGATCGAGGATCTATCGTTAACCAGAGTTAGAGGAGTCGTAAGGAAGAAGTGGATCAGTAACTTTTTTTTTAAAGTGACACATGTATGCTTTTTCAGCCTAACGATCCTATTTTTATTTAAATAGAATGAACTTATTATTACAGCAAACTTTTCCCTTAGTCTGATTTGTAAATAGTATTTTTTCTTTCATGAAAAAATTAATTATTTCCAGGTGCAGTTTATAACCGAATATCCTATGCATAATTGTTAACTCTATTTCATACCTTATTATTTTGCTTCATTCAAGAGCGGACTTTATTCAGCATATCGTAGTGCCGAGATTACTACGTAAGTCCGCTGAATTCATACCTCCGAAAGAACCTATGGAATCTTCAACACATTACCGCAATGAATTTACGCCAAAAGCAGCCAGTATTACTGAAGCTATCATTCCTGAACAAGTCCAAAGGTGCACATTACCATTCCAAGGAGAACCTACATACCGAAGTGAGGCATGTTACGTTTATCCCGATTTATTCTATCAATCTGGCTTCGTAAGAAATATTTTGTTAATAAACCAGTCTCTATCGAAGCAGGTCACACATTACGCCGATTTGATATTGCGATTTAAAGGCTGCAAACCGAATTTATTAGTTGAGCTACTTGCAAAAAAAGTATCATTTACTCTTACCTATCCACTTGTGTTTCGGAACTATTTAGTTTTCACACCAAACGAAGATATCTCATAAAAATTAAAAAATGGAAGTTACTATCCATTTTTCTTGAAATCCGGCCAAATTCCTTCGGTTATCCTGCAAAAAATATTTTGTTTCCAAGATGTGTGATTAATTATCATTTTTCGTTTATAAGTAAGGCTTCGAGATTACTAGGAAATTAGTTATATAAAGTGTATTCACCATATTTCTTTTAAGACGGTGAAGTACTGGTAGTTGAATTTTCGCACAATTATGGGTACAGTCGAATATTAAATTGGAGTTCACATAGACTTACTTTCCTAAGAGGTTTTCTCATTCAGTATAGCCTGCAATTTCAACCTCGCCTAAGTCTTATCAACACCCTTAGCGAGAGCCGAATCACGATATTGCAGCATGTAATCTCTACACGTTAGCCACTACGCCACATTGCCACAAATGCCCCTGTGTCACAGGGAAAATGGGAATTTCAAGGAAGGCCAGGCATTCCCCATATCGCAATCTTTGGTGGGCTTGTCTATGAAACAAAGTTATATTTGCCATGACAATCGACCAGAGTACTTATTTTTCGTTTATAAGTAAAGTCTCGAGACTATTAAAAATCACTTATACGAGTTGTGCATGAGTCTCGAAACCCTACTTATATACGAAAAAAAGTAATGTTGTAATTTGTCATAACAAATATAATTTTGCTTCATCGACAATCCCGCGAAAGAATGCCATATGGAAAAATGTCTGGCCTCGATTTAAATTCTCATCTGCTCTATGACCCAGGGGCAATTTTGAAAATGTGGCGTAGTGGTTAACTTGTCGAGATTACACGCTAAACTGTTATGATTTGACTACCGCTGGGGGTGCTGATAAGGCTTAGGCAAGGCCGGAACTGCAGTCCACCCAAGATGAGAATCTCTTTTGGGAAAGCAAGGCTATGTGAAATTCAATAGAAACGTCTGCTCTACTCATAAGATTGTGGGAAAATTCAACTACCAGCCTTTCATCACTTTAAACGAAATAGGGTGGATACATCTCATATAACTGTTATTGTTATTTTACTCTGTTCGGTGTTTTATTTTTGAAATCTGATAGCTAATTGGGATCAAACATTTACTACTGTCCAGATTGACATTTTAATAGGAATATTTGCCTAAAATATTTAAAAACAAACTGGAGTTGATCAGGGTTATCCATATTCCAACAGAGATTTGTTCAAATGTTTTGTCAGCATTGAATTGATTAATATAAACATTTGTAGCATCTGCTGTAGCTACTTAAATGATGTTAAAAAATTCTCCGTAATCCCTTTTTTATGTTTAAAGAGGTAAGTGAATCATTTAATTTAAAATCCTATCCTTGAGAATCTTACGCGTGCAATAGTAAATCTGCTCATAATGGTTCCAGAAAAATGTACATGAGGAATAAAAACGATAAAAGAATGCTGCAAGTAAGCCGTAATCACCGAAGGTCGTGAAAATTGATAGGCGGCTGATAGATGAAGGTTACTACAGTGATAAAAGTAGGTATCATGGTACGTCAGAATTTCATTCAGGTCTGCCTCTA